GGTCGGGGCTCGCCGCGCCGCAGGGCCCTGCTGGAGGCCTCTCTGGAGCTTGTCTTTCTGGGTCCTGTTTCTGTTGTCGGGGTTAATGCCAATTGCAGGGCTCTTCCCCAAACTGCAGACATATTCAAAAAGACCGGATTTTTTGTGATTTTTAAATTATTATTTTTTTTTTAAATAAGGCTCTGGTATGTATTTACATATGGCCTTGGAAGTTATTTTAACTTTCTTTTTTTTTTTCCCCCATGCATTTATTTTTTTGACGTGACTTCAGTTGCGTAGTGAATGTCAGTAGCTGATCTTGTAGCTGTTGTTTGTTGGTTAGAGAGGTTCAGTACTGATTTCTGACAGCCATCCAAAAAGATACCGAAAAATTTAATTTCCAAGTGTCATCTTGTAGCTCTGTTGTGCATCAATAATGAAAAATAAAGTTTTATCTTTATTTAATGTGATCTTGGCCATGTAAAAGGTGGCTATTTCTGAAAGCATGTGTTGTCATTCAGTAAAATACATGTTCTTGCAGTTATATCTTTTTGTGAAGAAAATTATAAACCAAATGGTAATCCAGCAGGTTCTACTGTTGGGTTTTGTAGGTGCTTTGTAGGTGTGAACAGCTTTGTGACTTGCTGTCATTTAGCAAAATCTGCACCTGAGACACTTCCAAGAACTGTACTTGTACAGCTCTTCCCTCTCTTTGCATTAATTCTTTCAGTTGTAAATATGCAAATGTAGAGGCCACTGTGACTTGGGAGATGGGCAGCTGCTTAGGGTGTTTACCATTTGGAGTATTTATAGTAACTGAATAAAGTAAAGAATTTGAGGCAGACACACACAGCAAGGTTATTTTTTTTAACTTGAGTTATGCTTGCCTGACAATCTTATTTCTTTTTTGTTTTTTAATAATTTCAGTGTAGTAAACCAATCTTGATATCCAGTCAGACTGGCTTTTAAGGTAAAAGCTTATGCCTTATTCCATTACTTGACAAAATTAATTCTAGTCATCTTTGGGTAGAAGATGTTTTTTATTATTCAATGAAAATCTAATATATTTTATGCCCAGAAAAATTAGAAATACAATATGATACAAGTTACAGCTCTAACAGAGCTCTAATAATATTAGTCTAATTGGATGAGGGAGAAATACATGAATAAGACTGTAAGTGTTTCTGTGCAGTTCCTGTGTTAGTGTATGCCTGCTTCATTTCTCCTGAACTTGGTTGTGGGGGATTCTTGTTTTAGTTCTGAAATGCTGCCCTAAAAAATACTACTGTCCTGAAAGAGGCTGTGGTAACAGTTGCCTAAATCAAATACTGAGGTGTCTGCAAAGTCTAGTGATCCTATTTTGCTATAGCTTCATTAAAAAATACAACTTAGAAGACATAAGCAAATCTTTCATACCAGATACTACTGGTTTGTGCTGCCCTTATCCAGTTTCTTCTTTAGTCTCATTCATGTATATGTAGTGGTCTGACAAGAAGACTTGATTCAGCTGGAAGTTTTTCAGAGTGGTGACTGAAAGCAGAAACTTAATTGAAGCACTAAGTTCTGTGAAAACTGCGTGATTAGTTTGAATATAGCCATTGTGTGCTTTTGGGGTTTAAAGTTCTTATTTGTAATAGCTGACTGCAGTCAGCATTTTCAGTGTGATTAGAGTTAAATGTCTGAATTCTTTTTAAAAAAAAGCTTCTGTTTCCATAAGGTCTCATTTTTCTGTGGTAGGTGGCAGTATGTCCAATCCACTTTCTCATGAAAACACAAAGAGGTACTGGGAAACCTTAGAAGAGTATTATTATCTAGCTACTGTTGCAGGCAAGCTTCTCTCATATTATCTACACAAATACTATATATGTGTAACCAACATTTTGCAAACATTGTTTTAAGCAGTCCAGAGAATAGCCCTGCAGTTATTTTACATGTGGTGCCAGGGTGCATGTGGTCTGTGCAGAATGGGCGTGCAGTATCTGTACCTATAATTGTGGCATTTGCTTATTTCTATGTAAAGCTGAAGGTGCTTCGGGTATTGCCAGTCTTTGGCTTACCTTT